GAAATGTAAGCATATATGCTTGTACAAGTTACAAATGCAATACAATACAATACAATACTTCATTTCCAGTCAAATTCCGAGTGTGTTTAGCATAGTGTTCCACGTCTACACTTGAAGTTTCAGGTTAAGGGTTGCCAGTCGGCTTCATCACAATCGGCCTTGCTGGTGATGAGGTTTGACTCATCTCTTACACATCAATAAAATACAATTATAACAAGTTGTCTATTGCAAGGAATGACTAAACCATTCCGCTAGTTTTTTTTGAGAAATAACAGATTCTATCTTAGGAACCAAGTTTCAAACTTGCCGTATGCGAATATCTCCAACTGCGATTTTCGAATGACAAACAAGCTTTTTTACTTGGTTTTCGTTAGACGTATGCATGAATTTCTACGTGCTTGTAACATTTTTCTTACTATGAACTAAGTTTACCAACTATTCCAAATTCAAAGGTGATTCGGAGCCCCTCGAGATAGATGCCACTCCCACTCCTCAACCAGTCAAAGAACCAACATCTCGAGCATCGACACAATCTAAAAAAGCTTCAAAAAGCTCTCGTACTTCCTCACAGTTCAGTCGAACTGAATCACAGCGTGCCCACACTGCACCACAACAACGTAGCAGCAAAGCTCAACATTCTCGCTCACAGGCTCGTTCCTCAGTTGCTACTCCGAAGGCGACAGCATCCCAGGACAAGGCAGCTCGAACCACTTCTCCAGCAGCAACTGATACTCCCGTCGGCGGGGCTGTACTGGGTACCCGACGTCCTGGCCTTCTGGTCACCCGAACACCCTCATCATCAGGCCACACCGCTTCCGTGGTAATTAAGAAACAAATAAGCACGGATGCATCTTCGGCGACCTCATCCGTAACTCCTCCCACCACAAACAGTTCGGGCGTGATCATGCTTCATCAACGGCGTGTTAATCCATCCAATTACATCATTCGTCCATCAACATCCGAATCAGAACCAGCTTTAGTCGTTCCCAGTAACTTGGTCAAGGGTAACGAAAGTGGTTTGTGGACTCCTGGCAAACGTGGCCGTCCGCCAATTGCGATGTCAATGGCAAAGAGGCAAGCTCTTATCTTTGAATACCGGTGTTTCTGTCGCAAACCCTTCTAAACGGTCTCTGCTACTACTGTTTTCAAGAGCCGCCTTTTTCTTTTAAATGTTTTGCCTTTTTAACTAAATGCTACCTTGCTATGTTCGATCCCCGGTTGGGTTGATGGGTTTGCACCGCTGTTGAAACCCAATTAGTTCGAAACAGCTGTACAGTGCTTCTTAGTTTTTCAATTGACGCTTCATTAGCTCTGCGCATGACAAAATCAACTTCACAATTGCGTCAGGCCCTGTTGTTATTGCTGTTGCATTGACACCATACTTTTTCTCCGGTCAGATTATATATAT